CTGTAAAGAGTACAGTGATTTCAGAGGACAGGCCTTGAGTCGAAGGGCATAGAAACAGCAAGAACCCTTCGTGAACTTCAGATGGCTAACCGGAGCAGCGTGATACAGAAAGCATCTGACCTTAAAAGTTGGCTTAAAAATTTAACACGGATAAGGAAAAACCAAAATCTCATTTTGGGTAAAAGGAAGGGACAGCTGATAATGTGTTAGGTAGAAGGTGAACTTGAAAAATACCAACTCTTGTCTGATTTCACAAGACCATGTGAGTTTTGAGGGCTGACGAAATACTGCGCAGCTGATCTAGGTTGTTCAATGTCCTGGTTTGGTTTCACAACCTTCTGCATCTTGCGTTATTTTATGATAGAGTCTCAGAGGCAAGAAATGAGCATGTAGTTTCATCTTTCCTTGAATGTTAAGTCTTAAACTTTATAAGGGTAGGCAGTCATAATTTTACTCTGACCTGCATCTTGCTGTTTTGTTCAAGACATTTTTAACTGGGATAATGACTTTGCTTAAATTGCAATACTTGATTTTAATGTGCTTCATCACTTGGCCATTTTGCTTCACTGATTGGTATTTTGGGCATTTTTTTTTTTTTTTGTGTTCCCTGTAAGCAAGGGGATGCAACATAAATTTCTTTTTTTTTGCTGCTGTTTATAAACATGTGATCTTATGTGCATGTACTACACACATCTATTTTAAAGGGAAAAAACTGAGTAAAGTCATAGAGCATCTTTGGCAAATGATGGCATACAACCCTTGAAGTTTTGTTTTGCTCTTCTGAATGTGTATGTTCCTCTAGCAAAATCAGTGTTGATAACATGTCCACAGGTTGGGGCTCTTCAGAACCCTTAGGAGTTACATACGCAAAGCAGTATTAAAAAATGAGTTTGTTTTCTCGAGACTGGACTGTGTAGAGAGATTTCTGGAGGTAAACCAGAGTCCAGCGATAAGGAATTGAGAGAAAGCTGCACTTAAGAGTCTGCCTTGGCTCTGCAACTTGTACCTATATAACTGCTTTTGTGCTGCAGATTGTGTTTCATATAAACTGAATGATGGTGAGGTGCTGTGAAAAGGGGAATTGGGCATTGTGCCATTGAGAAAATATTAAACTGAAGAGGCTTTTTTATTCTGGGAGTTAGATATGTGTAACTTGTGTTTTGTTTGGGTTTTTTATCAGTTCACATCTTCATGTCAAAATTACTGATATTTCTTCAAAGGAAGTCTTGTGACACTGACATTTTAAGTACTGTCATTGGAATGAAGGTTCCTCCCCACTTGCAGTGAGTGTTGGCAACATTTTGGTGAGAAAGTTGTGGTTCAGATAAAGTGAAAGAAAATTAAATTATTTTTAACTTCTGAGTATTTGATACATACTCAGAACTTTGCATTTTGGCTTAGTCTTGGCTTTTTTACTGAGCTAATGAGCAAAATTCAGCCTTATTAATGACACAGGATTGTAAGGAAGAAAATAAAACCCTGTGTTTGCCGTGCTGAGTCTTATGTTTGCTGTTGAGAATGCTATGCCAAGGTACAGAAAAAAATAAAATAGTGGCTTTGTGTGCTTTTATTTTCAATCCTGTCATTTAGCTGTTATCTGTTGTTTTGGCCAGCAAATGTCCCTTTGACTTCCACCTCCGAATGCATAGGGTATGCACTAAGTGCCACCTGTGTAAGTGGTACTCGGCCACAACCACTGTTGGCCATCTAAAACCAAAACACCAAACATTTTTTAGCGTCCTGAACTTTAGATTGCAAACTGAAGACAAGCGCTAATGGGTGGTCTGTGCCGTAGGACCACGTTCTGTGTAGTGATGTTTACAGGGCTACACTATTAGGTAAAAAGCAGAGTATTTAAGATCACTTTTTTTACTGGTATTTGCCTTAAAGAAGAATAGTGTTCTCGGGTCAGCCTGGCACCTAATCAGAATAGTATTGCAACATGTTTGACTGGGAACAGCAGATAATTCCCTTGGTTTCTGCTCTATGGTTGCACACTAAATAGTGGTGCACAGAGTGATCAGAGCAACAGGTTAGGCATACGTGTAAAACTGTACGCATAGGGCTGCAATAAAGGCAGTTTTGCTAGTGTTTTGTACTTCCTTTGAGGAAATTTGGGTGAAATGCACCTGATGCCAGACTTGCACGCTGACTGCTTGGCAATGGGAGGAAATGTCCCTCTTGCACATTGTTTGATCGATTACGAACTGGACATTGGCAGAAGGACATAGATTAGAGAGCGGGCGTTGGTGTCATCTGTGAAGCAGCCATTTAAGCAGGTTGCAAGTTTCTTCACGGTAGCTTCCTAGCCCTTAGTTTTGCACAGTGGAGTTTCACTCCAGTATAGGTTTATCGTTATCTTACTGAAAGACAAATCTTCTGTGAGAAGGCTAAATTTGCATGGCTCACCCCAGGGGAAAAAAAAACATAAAAATTGAGGTGATCTAGGTACAATATGAGTTGGTAAATTCTGTTCAGAATGGGTAGAAAAGCTTGTTCTGCTTAGCACAGGTTCCTTGCAGAGCAAGTGGACCTGAGGCAGTGTACAGAGCCTTTCTGTACAGGTCCTGGTTGGTCTTTGTTTTTACAACTCTTTCTTCACAGCTTACACTGGAAAATTATTTAAAACTCAACCTGGATATTTCAGATGAAGAACCTTTCAAGCTGGCTTTGAAGAACAGTGTCTCTTACAACTTCTAGGGGCTCAGGGATTTTTCTTGTCTCGGTATTTTATTTTATTGCCCTTAAAACCAGAAGCAAAGCTGTTAAGCTTCATAAGCACTGTACTCATTACACTTCATAGACTTCGTTTCTCCTGAGCCTGCCTTCCTACTCTTGGAGTGGAATAAGTGCCGGAGGTGACTTAGAAATTAAACTTACATTAACATTTTAAGGAAAGGTACAGCACTGAAGAAGCTTCCAGCGTGGTGTGTGGCTGACATGCAAGGAATCCATTCCATGGAAGTTCCCTAAGCCTGCAACCTTAGATGTTGGGAACACCAGGGGAGCTTGGTGTGCTGACTTGTTAAGAGGAACTTCACGGAGGGTGGAGCGGAGTGGAGACACTGCGGCCAGGCTCTGTGATAATATGGGAACTTGAAGGTACCACGGAACTGATAAGCTGCATATTTGCTACCCTGGGCCAACAGTCTGTCATGTTTTTTGACAAAATGCTGTCCTTTGGTAAACTTTGCTCATTATAATATCATTATAATACCAAAACACACCTCCATCCCAAAAGCTACCCGCCTCCAAGGTGCAACCACCCCTCACTGAGCTTGCACTTTGAATTTTTCTCGTTTATACCTTTAAAAGCGAAGCGTGAAAATTTTACGCCAGTTGAAACAAAGGTATGTATGACTAGAGTCACTCAAGCTCCACCTGAAAGATAAAAAATAATATAAAATAGCTTAAGAGAGAGAAGATGTTAGGAAAGATACCATCACTGTGTACCAGGTTATACCAAGTGCCTCCCCAGGAAACTTAGAAATCTCTATAGAGTTGCTTTATATCTTTTAATGCTTTTGGCCTGAACTTAGGACAAAGAGGAAAAGAGACAATAAAAACCATTATCTTTCTTGTTTACAGGCTTCTGCACAGAGGAGCTTGCTGTGAGGGCTTTATTGGTGTCCTTCCAGAGACATGGATGTGTTTGGATGGATTTTTTTTTTTTTTTTGTTTGCATTCAGTTCCCTATAACTTTAATCACATGGAGTAGTGGACTGTTCCATGGGTTTGAGGTTTGGTATGGTTTTGCCAGCTCTCTCTCATGAAAAGTGATGTGTTTTTAAAGGGTTTGGGGTTTGTGTGTTGTTTTTTTTTCTTTTCAATGTGCATTTTAAGAAAGCGCATCTGTCTCCGCTAATCTGTTTGTTCTTTTTTGATGGGTTTACTATGTGGAGTAGCTGTGCTGGATTCGTGCAAGTGACTTTGTGGGATGGGACTTTGTCAATCCAAGGTTTGGGAATCTCAGGCAATCACAGTGCTTTGTACAACATAGTTGTGCCTTGCAGCGTACAACTGAGATTTAGTCTTTTGGAGCCATCAAGACACTGAGGAAATTGATGCACGTGTGGATTGCATAGAAATTAATTCCCTTTGAAACGGGATGGAGGGAGCTGGTGGTATCTTTGCGCCACTTTAATACCTTCTTTCTTTTTAGGCAGTTCCTTGTAGCTGTGATAGATTCATGCAAGGTATCTGTAGTTTTGTGCCATTAAAATGTTCAAAAACTTGTCATTTGAAAGGAAATGCCTCAAGGTTTTCAGTTTATAAATATAACTTTAATTTCCTACAGTGGTTTTTTTTCAAAAATTAAACACTCTGCCTTTGATTATTTCTGTATGTATATCTGTATATCAGATTATTGTACTGGATTACGTAGATACTTGTGCTTTATTCCTACTAACCATTGAAGAATGCTCAAAATGAGCTCTGTTTCAGGAGAGATTTTTGTGTTAATAATATTTAAAGGAGAAATAATAAATATTAAATACCATGTCATACTATAATGTATTAAGCTGTATCTGTCATGCTTGTTTTGTTCAAAACCAAGAAAAGGTTGAGCAGTCGAGGTCTTGCGTTAAAGATTTAAAAATTACCTAAAAATTGTGTGCACCTTGCTGTTTCCTTTCAATGCAAGCACTGAACTAAGGTACATAGGGGCATAAGATGTCAGTGTCCTTTTTTGGTATCGTTTTTTGTATGTCTTAAAACACGTATGCAAATACATAGGCTTCTTGTTTTCTGCCTGTATGCAACTTGCGTGTCCGGCGTTGCACTGCCACTGACTTGCCCTTCCAAAATTCAACACAGCATAAGAAACCAGGTTAGGTCCACCATACTCCTGAAAAAAACCCCTGAAATAGTGAGACACAGTGCATGAGCTGCTTGAACGGTCACTTCCTCAGCACATGGATTGTAGTTTTGCACCACAGTATAAGGCTTTGCTTTGTGGGAGTGTTAATGGTAAATGCTGGTTTTCTGTTTTGCTGTTTCAGTATGTATGACCAATTGCCCTACTCTGATTGTCATGGTGGGTCTTCCAGCGAGAGGAAAAACCTACATCTCGAAGAAGCTGACACGCTATTTAAATTGGATTGGAGTGCCTACAAAAGGTGATGGATTTACTTGTGTTTACATCAGAAGGACCGAGGCAATGTTAGGTGTTTAAGTATAAAACATATATATATACATATATAATATTAAGTATAAACTTAATTCCCAGTAATTTTGTTGCCCAGTTTGACTACTTAAAATCCTTCTGCTTTGTTAATTTGTTTTTAAGCAATAGCATACACAGGCTCTCTGTTCTGTTTAGATGGTATTTTATCAAATTCTGGTGACTGTTCATTTACCTCCTTGTTCTGCCAGGTGCCTAAATCAACATTTTGCCCTTGTCCCTTAACCTTGTTCTTTAGCTGTCTTTTTTTTTTTTTTTTTTCTTTCTTTCCTTTCTTCCTTTCTTTATGTGGGTGAAAGGGAATCTCGTTTACAAGCAGATGAGCAGTCAGCACTTCTGGGTTAAAGTTCTGACTTCTCCATCTTCTTTTTTCTGTGAACTTTGTGCAACGTGTAATTCTCTGTGTAACACTTGGTTTTAAATTGCATTTGTGGAATGAGTTACAGCTCCTTGTCTGAATATGAAGAGCCCAAGAAACTGAAGCAGCCACTTGTTAATCACTCTCTTAAGGACTTTACATGTGTATTTTGAGTGGGAAATGACAGCTCAGGTTGGCTATGCCAAGGACTTGGCTGTCGTACCTCATTCCTGAGCTCCTCTGGTATCTTGTGGGCCCAGATCGACAAGTAAAAAAGGCCAAAGTCCATCCGAGGTTCTGAGCAGCCATCTCCCCTGCCTCTATCTCTGTAGAAGGAAAAGACAGTTTCAGTGTTCTGTGATTCTGTGTCTGGTGCAGTAATGGTAGCTTTATAGTTATGTCTAGTTAATAATTTAAATAATATGAAACATCATACTGCAGTGTAGACTTTTAGCTGGAAATTCAGAGATGTATTTCCTAGTAGCTCTAAGAAATCCAGATGAAGAGTTGTGGCCTGTATTTAAACTGTCTTTGGATTCTGGGGTATAGCTTTTGGAGTTGGTGTTCTCGTAAGGTCTTAGAAACTTGCCTGATATGGGTTTTTTTTTAGATGAGATGTCATGGAGGATACGTTACATTGTTTGAGTCTGACAGTTTACAGGATTTAAATTATCACCTAAGTTTTGACTGTTTTCACACAGGATCATCCTTCTGATGAGCTGTATCAGGTATTCAGGGACTTCAGTTTTATCCATTAAGTTGGAAGTGGAATAACAGTCTGTTAGCCTATATCCAAGCTGGTAAAATGTATAATATACATGTATGTAGGCATGGTACGTATATATGTCACTGTGTTGAGCATTTCACTATGTGAACTTCAAAAAGCAGAAATTCAGTATTGGATAACAAATAAGATATTGTCCACATCTGGCTCCTGCTTGGTTGAATATATCCTGAGTGCAGTAAAATTGGTAGGGGTGGTCTGCTTCAGTTACAGAAAAAGTTTCATGTGAGCAGCACATCAGAAGATATATGTGCCTGTGCTTAATAAAAATAGTTACAACATTGCCGCCTAATTTTATGTGCAGTTGCTCATACACAACATAAAGTTGCTATATGAGCTTCCATCCTAGGTTGCTGGTTATGGTTTGTCTTTCTTAGAAAAGGTGACTCGGGATTTTCTTGGAAAACCACAGACTCTTCCAGTTGTTTGTGTCATCATTGCTGCAATTTGACTGAAGCTAAAATCAATTTAAAATACCTCACTGGCTGAGGGAATAGATGACACATTGCCCAATGTGTCCAGTTGATTGGGGCTGGATTGATACATGATGAGTGTTGAGTAGCCCTAACAGCTGTTACCCTTTGGCTCTTAATGTCTTAAAATTAGTGTGTGCTTAATGTAGTAAGTGGTCTTATTCCCTGAGACAGATGGTTAAAATTATGAGGTTATGTAAACCAGAGAAAAGATAAACGCCATCATTTCATGTAATGTACATTAGGCAAGCTGGAGAGTTCAAGAACAGAAGGTAAATAGTCCAGGGTTGATATTAGTTGAATAATTTCAGCCATCAGTTCTGTGTTTTCTTCTGTTCCTTCCAAAATCTTCTGTCATTTAGAATGTGAGGTGGTTAAAAATACAAAGGACTTTTGTCTGGGCTTTTTGAAGGAAATGAGGTCAATTAGATGCCTGAATAGAATTGTGTTGCAGTGTGGTTTTTAGATACTGAACTTTGGGAAACTTTTTTGAATAGTTCTGGCTGTGTGGTAGTTGTGATACCAGTTAGCCTTGTGAAACTGTTCCACAGGGGTGGATGCTAATAATAGGGGCTAAAGATTGTCCCGCTAGATAGGACTTTGTCCTTTGCTGTGCATGACTCTCTTGCAGTAACTATTGTTTCTTACGAATTTCATTATTTTTGATTTTTAAAGGGCCTGACAACACTAGCCATCTGAACTTCTTGCATTTTCTGGTTTTCTTACAAGGACCCACCTTTTCACATAGCCACTCTGGCCAGTGCTCATTAAACCTTTCACAGAATAACCTGCATTGTACTATAATCCATGTCATACAGTTGACCACAAACATCAACATTGTCGAATTAAAACAAAACTTGACTTTTGGGGAGATAAACACTATTTATTTCTTTATCCTCTGACCCCATTGCAACAGCAACCCCTATACAGCAGCTTACAGTTCAGCTCTTTTATTCTATGTCTTATTTTCTTAATTACAACTCAGAAACTGTGTCTGTTACTTTTCCTCTTTCCAGAAATGAAGTCTGGCAAGTAGTTATACCTTGGCAGCTTATCAAACAGTTTGATCTAATGTTAAAAAAAATGCTTTGCAGTTCATCAGAGAAAACCTATAGGTCAGGAAGAAGTTAAATATTAACTGCACTTCAGAGACATACTTGCCGAGTTATTGAATGAAGTTAATAAGAGTACAGCATCATTGTCTGTGGTGTGGCAGAAGAGAACTGCCTTGCTCTAATCCCGTATCCAATACAGTGACGTGTATGGCCATAGACCTTGTAGACCTTTGCCCAGGTAAGGAGTAGTTTTCCTTGACCACTGTTAAGAGATCACAGTATGATTATGTTCAGTCCGTATGCATATTTTTATTTATTTATTTTTTACAACTTAAGCATTTTTTTAAATAAATGGAATAGTGTGGTGAAATAGTATGTACTGATCTTTAAGGAACAGATACATTTCAGCAGAGTTCCGAAAAACTATTTGCACAACTTGAATTTTAAGTTTTCATTCATCAAAAGCAAGATGGGTTAGTCCTATTTGGAACTCTTCCTTGCTTAAATAAGCACTGAAAGTTTTGGGAGATGCTGGTGGAATATTATTTCACTGCACATGTATGCAGAAGAAAAAGCTAGATTATTAGTAGTCTGTTTGTACGCTACTGAAATAGACTTCCAGCCACCCCTGCAAAGGAGGAAAAGAGTTTCTTTTTGTTTTTCAGGCAAACTGGCAGAGAGAGGCACAGCAATGTGATCAAGTGACTCTATTGAAGCTACCTACAGCCCAAAGTTCTTTTGCCACTTCCATGATTCGTTGTTGTGTTGAATTTGTACATGCTAAATTATTTTATCCTTGCAGGTAGTTTGGTTTCAAGGCTGTGATAACTTTTGTCCTTTTTATGTGAATACTGTTAGTTCCCACTAATACTGATTTCTTCTTGGCAGAATTTAATGTTGGTCAGTATCGTCGAGATTTGGTGAAAAAGTATAAATCTTTTGAATTCTTCCTGCCTGACAATGAAGAAGGCTTGAAAATCAGGAAGTAAGTTTTGTATGTGTTTGGCTACACAATGCTAATTGTACTAAAATGGTACCCTGTGTAATTTGCTCTTAGACGCTGCTTTAAATTGCATTTTTGCATGCTCAAGATGACCCTTAAGAGACTGCAGTATGAAATGACAAGGAAAAGAAATTCTAGAGGATGTGGAAAAGTGATTGCTTTAGGCTGCTTAAAATTTGGGGTAATTTTTTTTAATTGCTTCATCTTAAGCATCAAAAATGCAGAGAAGGAAATACTTGATTCCTTTTCACCTTTCCGTAGGCTGCAACTGCTGTTATTCCTGCAGATATTCCAGGATATTTTCAGTGAGAACAGAGCAGTTTTAACAAATAGTTACTATTTTTCTTACCTCTTTGTAAGGTATCAGCTAATAGATGTGGCTCCTTCTGCTGTGTAATTCCTAAAATGCCATTTTAGAGCTTTTGTGTGGATCATACAGAAGAAAAAACCTGACATAACTGCTTTTATTTTTGGTTTGCGTACTGGAATTTTTCACCTGGAGTTCGTGGAACGTATTTGCCATTACCCATTCAAATGAGCGGGTATGAAACACTATTACTCTCTCCCTGAGATTGTCTTTTTGGCCGCCATGCAGGTGCTTCATGCAGTCAGTCAGTGCACTGCCTCCAAAATTACCATGTTTTGCTAATACTATGCAAAGCAAGGTGAGCACCAGTGTGAACATCTGTGCCCAGATGAAGCACTTGAGACTCGCCTCTTGCTTGGAAAGAGTCTGTACTTAATGTAGAGGAAGGACCTTTAGAAGAAAGAGAAGGTCAGAGCAAGAGGGAGCTGCCTCTTTCTTACAGAAGATCAAATAGAAAGGGCTTTCGATTTTCTTGACCATTCATTGTCTTTTTTTGTATGTTCAGGAAGACGTTTAAGAGAATGCAGTATGAAATGAGAAGGAACAAATTTTAGAGGAATGGAAATGCAATTTGTTTTGGCTACTTAAAATACTGAGTATTTTGTTCTTAATTGCTTCAGCTCAAGAATAAAAAATGTCTGGACTTTCCTATTGTCTGGACTTTCTTTTGTGGCTGTTCCTCCGCTTGTCCTCTCTCTCTTCCCTTTCCCCTTCAGCAGCAGTTGAGTATTGCTAATGTCAAAGAAGAACAACTTGCCCGAGAACCTCCTAATCCTTTGGGATCAAAGAGCAGATATGAGGTGCATTAGGCTTGCAAGCCCCTACCTTTTGCTTAGAGGTAGAGCCAGATGTTCAGTGCCCTGCTGTGTCACCTGTTAGATTAAATGACGAGGAATATAACATGAAATGGGCTGTGTGAGCTAATCTGCCTAGTTAGCAATGAGTAAAGAAGGTTTGTATTTATTTAGCGAAGGCTTGACTGATGAATCTCAGTTCCTGACATCTATTAACCATGCCAACGTGGAAATATTGCCAGGACTGAAAAGCCTTCATTTCTTTTAAGATAAAGCTGTGCATGCAGAATATGGTAAATGTAAGAAAAGAGTTATGCACTTCAGTATGGAAGTCAAAATAGAATAGTAATGCATAGAAAGGCTGTTGAAATTGACAGGTTTTTATAGAATCATATATAATTTTGGTTGGAAAAAACCCTTTAAGATCAAGTCCAAACATAAACCTAACACTGCCAAGTCTACCACTAAGTCCCTAAGTGCCACATTTACATGTCTTTTAAATACCTCCAGGGAGGGGGACTCAAAAGGACTGTACTTACTGGAAATAGATGGGGCTTGGTTCTGTTAATGAGTAAATTGTGCAATGTTAATGTTGCCTTCCAGTATTATTTATGTGTTAGAAATCATAATGGCCTTCGAAGATAATACTGTGCTGGGGAAATAGGAAAGTTGCAAATGAATTTATTCTTGTCTAGATTTAATACAAGTGTAAAGTATGTAGGGGTGGGTGTTCTGGTGTTTGTGTCCTCACAGTCTCCAGTACCAACTACATTGGATTGGTGACTACAATGGGATGTTATTTTCATTTCTGTCCCTAATACTTGGTGCTAACTTTAACAGATTTTTTTGACATAAGCATTTTTTTACACAATAGTTCAAAAGAAAAGTAGTAGATTGCTGGAAAAGAGTTGTCTATCCACTTCAACTTAGGGCCACAAGATAAAAGCCTTAAGTTGATTTATTATATTTTCTTCTCTTTGAGAATCAAATTAAGAAGCAAGTATCTATGAATAGGTAATTGGGAAAATAATACAGTTGCAGGGATGATTCAGCAATGTTACTTTAGATCAGTGAAAGTTTATCCTGGTCAGCAAAGTTGATGGGTATCCTGTGGTGATGTAGAGTCGTATCAGTTACACAGAGGGGCACTAGACTGGTCTTTTTTTAGGCAGATGGCCATGACCACGTTTCCTTAGTATAGTTTGGTTGACCTCTGTTGGTTTTTCCTATATTGGGGGGAGGGGCTGATAATCTCTCTCAGACCCATGCATTTTTTATCTAACATTTGCAGGGCACTTTGATCACAATGCACAAGTACATTAATAAAATTACTTTAACTAGCATTTCAGTTTTACTCTCTATCATTTTTAAGACAGTGTGCCTTAGCAGCGCTGAATGACGTTCGACAGTACCTCAGTGAAGAAAATGGGCACGTTGCTGTAAGTTTCTTGTTGAAAACGCATTCTTGAGATGCTTCCCTACAAAACTGTGTGTATCTGCTGGATAATATATAGCCTGAGTAATTCCAATACCTCTTCAGTGTATCAGGTTGTGTTTTTCTTTGGGAGTTGTATGTTAGATCTGCCTTGTTGCTGCAGTGAAAGGAGCACTTAAGTTCAGGGTGACAATGCCGCGAGCAACCACCTTTGTGATTTGAGGGGTTAACTGAAGAGAGGGTAATACTAAAGAAAATGCCCCCCTTCTCTCCATGTTGTAAAATGTACTGTTAAGCACATCTGTTGTTCTGGTTGCACTTGTGTTTCTATTTGATAGTCTAGTCTTTCAAGTGAAAGGTAAAGGCTTGCGGAACAAAAAGTGTCCTGGGTTTTGCTTGGCAGTTGTTTTACTGACATGAGAAATCTCTGAAGAGAGCAGGAGAAACTCAAAGTAAACTGCTGCACATCTGAGTATTTAATAATGGGATGCAAAACATCAGCTGTTCAACTATTGAAGTTGCTTATTCACATTGATTTGCATAACATTGGTTTTTTTAAGACTACTGACACAACTCTGTGGTGTTTTCATTAACTAATCAGGGAAAAACGTTAATTATAATTTCTGCTGGGGACATAAGGTAAACTTTATACTTTGGCAAACTTCATACTTTCGTAAAGCACGGGTGTGTTCAGAGCTAAATGTACGTTCTTAGGAAAATGGCTGCATGTGCCTTGTAATTCATGGGCAGGATTTACAAGTCTTGCAGATCTTCTGCCCTTTAAAAATTTTACACTTACATTTTGAATAGCATATTGATTTCAGCATCTTTTTGTGTAGTATAAGTTCACTAAAAACCTATGCATTAGTATTTAATGCTGATATGGGCCAGGAGGAAGATTCTGTCCTGTACTATGTGTTAGGCTTAAATTTTGGTTGCTTCTTCCAAATACAGTGTTCTGCTAGTAGTGCTTTCAAAATTTAACTCTTTTTTAGTATTTAGAAAATCATGTGTCTAAAGTAGGAATGTCTTTTGTTTTCTTGCCGAGTGTGTTGAGGCAGTGGGGTAGAGAGAAGGGGAAGTGTTTTCATTGCTTTCCTTCACATTGAGGGGCTTTGTACCCTTATTTTTGTTGTTACTAACACAGTGCTTTTCACAGGCTATGATGCTTTTTTAATTCCTCCCCCCTCCCCATATTATTCTTAGGTCTTTGATGCTACAAACACAACTCGAGAACGTAGAGAAACTATTTACAAATTTGGTGAAGAAAATGGATATAAGGTGAGACAAAAGCAAAGGAGTCCTGAGTGAATGCCTGGACAAGTAAGGCAGTGATAATTTTGCCCTTATCTGTACTCCAAATTAAGGGCAGTAGCATGAGCCACATCCTTCCTAGATGTTTAGTTAATAGTGAATTTTATGTTATCAAGCATTTTTTGTGATTAAAAGGCACCCAATCCTCACTTTTCTCATCTTTAATGTTTGTACTGTTTGAAGCTACTCTCTTTTACGCTGTGGCTTTTCTTGGTGCAGTTCAGATTTTTGCTGCAGAAACACATAGGGTATTCTGTGTTTGTTCTGTACAAACCGAAAACTTGCTGTGGCTTTCTGCCTTCTGTCCAGGGTTGTTTCACATTTAGTTGTTCTCCAGTAATCTTTTATTTCCTCTAAACTTCTGTCTCCATAAACCTTTGAGGCAGCAAAATACAAACCTTTTTAAGTTAGGCTACTGCATTAGTTGAAAGGCTTCTAAATTATTATTTCAGAAGCATTAGTTACTGTTTGTGTGGCTGAACTTGCATCCTCTGCAAGGGTCCTCTTGCATCCATTAATTTCTTCCTCTTCTGTACTAAATTTTTCTCACTGCAAAATTTTTCCACTTATAAGCATTGTTGGGGAAAACAGTATAGAGCACGATGCTTCAGGGAATGCTTAGCCAACAATTTCTGATGAGAGGGTTTGGAGAAACCTGAGTAAATGAAGGGAAGTTTAACATGTGGCTCAAAAAGGAGTTAGCATGGAAGTGGGCAACATGCCGTTCATGTGTGTTAGTCTTCAGAGGTGTTCTAATGCATCTTCCTTCTTCCTTCCTTCTGTACATGTGACTTCACATTTGGACTGAAGACTTTTTTTGTTGAGTCAATATGTGTAGATCCAGAGGTCATTGCTGCAAACATTGTGGTGAGTATAGGAAAGTTTGCTTTAACTGCTTTAAGTCAAGAGGTTTACAGTAGCTCAGTATTTTTAGAAGTACATTATAAGAACCTCCAGTAGCGCCATTAACTCCCGTTACTGGAACACTTTTCATTTATTTTCCTGTCCATGTGTATACTAACTCAGAAGGTTAATTCTGTGAACAATAGCTCTTTTTGCTTACACATATTTTAATTAACTTCCAGAAAATAAGTTTTTGGTTTGTATTCCTAAATTTCCATTCAAAAGGGAAAGAAACTTAAGTACTACTCTCCTGTTTTTATTTTAAACAGCAAGTGAAGCTGGGTAGTCCTGACTATGTTGATTGTAGTAATGATGAAGCAACAGAAGACTTCATGAAAAGAATAGAGTGCTACAAGAACTCATATGAGACATTAGATGAAACTCTTGACAAGTAAGTGATGAAATAATACTGTGACCACAACTGGGTTATTTTAAGATGTTTCCTTAGGGGATGGAGCATCACATACAGGGCATTAGGGCTTTCTAGTCATGTTTTTTTAATGGCTTGAGCTCTCTTTCCTTTAGCAAATTAGAGAGAGTTGACTCTGGGGGTGTAGACTGGAAACCTCTTGCTGGAGGAAAATTGGCTAACGAGTCTACTCTGCAACAACACTTTTTGATTTTCCCACTTGGGGAACAGTGTGATTCTTCTGGGATAGAACCAGCATTTAGAAATTATTCCAGACTTGCTGTAGTGGTTGGTTGTTACTTGGTTTTTTAGTATGTAGAGGAGACCTGAGTGATTTGTAAGCATAGCTTCATTTGTTGATATGGCTAAGATGAATTTTGAACACATCAGTCTTAAAAATGTGACTTCTATTGTTTATTTGTGCTTGCAAAGTATCCTGCAGATGCAGGGCTGTGAGAAACTTTCTTAGCTAGGTGATTTGCCTTCATGCCAAAGCATTAATCTGTTTTTCATTTGCTTTCTACACTTGAAAGTAAGGTAGGGATGAACCATGTGAGGAGGAGCCCTGTTCATCTTGCTACAGTCCAGGATTTCAGTGTGGGGTTTTGAGCTGCACTCACACCAGGTGCTTCTGGCTTGTTTCAGGACCAGTGCTGTAGAGAAGGCTGAGCTGCACTTTCATGTAATTGAGTGTAAGCAGCGTGAAGCTGGTTCAATCAGATCAGTTCATGCATGTAATTTCTGTGATGGACCTAATGGTTGTGCCTGAGTGAAAGAGTAATGATTAACTCCAAAGAGCGCCATCAGAGATGAGGTGATGATGCTTGCTTCTCATCACCTCCGTTTGGTTTTATTATAAGTTTTCCTGGTTTATTGTGGTGTGATGTCTCAAATGCATTGCTAGAAACCAACAGTGGTTATTTTCAGCTTATTAAACTTTTTTCCTCCTTTAAACTAGATGCTACTCTGAAATTGTAGTTCAGACGAGAAAGGATAAGCAGTGAACATTGAAATTATAACCTGTCTGATGCTGAGAGAAGGTAGTGGTGTGGTAAATTACAGTACTGTTACTAAATAGTTGTTGATAGAGTGGTTGAGAAAATGTCTTGCTTCAGGCTAGTCCCTGGTCCTTCTGATGCTGTAGTTTTTCTGGAAGAGTTAACCGAGATGGGTAAACAGTGACTCTGCGTTTTGGCACCTGGGTGCAATTGGACAAATACTTGTTGTGGGGGAAGTATTTGTAACCTGGAGAAAAATACCTGCTATGGTAAAATACCTGGGTATCTTACTGAAGCTACCACAGTTGAATGACTCCTGAACCTTTCAGTGGAAGGTCTGTATTATTCCAAGGGCAGGATCTAGATTTGAGAGACAGAGTGCAAGTAAAGGGAACCGAAAAGAAAGCAACGTGAGTGGGTTACATGTGAAAGGAATAGAGTTCATCCTGTACCTTTGGAGTATTGCATTGTTTCTTAGGACTAATGCATATTCCAGAGGTAACTGAAGGTTTATTTATTGCTTTGCTTGTTGCCCCTTTGTTTTATAATGAAAGAGGGTGGGAAGACTGTGGTACATGCTAGCAGAAACTATGTGGAATCTTACGGGTTTGGGTTTTTCTGTTTGCTCATGAAAGGGATCTTTCTTATATTAAAATCATGGATGTCGGAAGGAGTTACCTTGTGAACAGAGTAATGGATCACATTCAGAGCCGGATTGTCTACTACCTCATGAATATCCATGTGACTCCTCGGTCAATCTACCTCTGTCGACATGGAGAAAGTGAACTCAATCTGAAAGGGAGAATAGGAGGAGATCCTGGACTGTCTGTCAGGGGGAAAGAGGTACGTACCTCCCGAACAAGTGTGACTGGGGTTTGTGTGTATCTATGCATGTGTGCAGCTTGTGCTGTGTAATTACAGCTTTCTTCCTCTACACCCTTTTCCTCTTAACATGTTTAAGAAGGATTTTCTTCTTTAGTTGCATATGTGAGTAGTGGAAACTGGATGGACACACTTTGTGTTGTGATTTGGTACGTGCCCTTTTACCTGTATCTTGTTCTGTTGATTGAAGTTCCTTTTTAATCTACAGCACAAAGCAGTTGTCGAGGGCTTTATTTTTCAACTGTATTTTTGTAAAATCCTGACTTGTTGGATAATTGGGAAGGTTCACAAGTTAAAGCTGAAAGGAAAATTCCTGGAGGATGTCGGAATGGGAAGTCGGCTCGGAGGAACGATGGAGTCTCAATATGAGTATGGTCGTTCTCCTTTATTGCGCAGCTAACAAAAGCATATATAGGCAGAAAACAATAACATACACACATGTCACACTGTGGTTGGTAGAATGCCACTATACACACGCCTCCATCGCTACCGTGATTGGGACAGATCACCTGTCCATGCGGAGGGGCTTCTCCTTCTCTTCCGGTCATAGTTCCGCCCACATCCGCTTAAGAGCAGGGGCTGTCAAACGGGACTAAGGCGTGCCCATTCTCACTCAGCCACTCCTCCACAGGAGGTAAAGATAGGAACTGCAGAAAAGTTGTATCTTCCTTGTACTCTTTTCCTTCCCTCTCCTGTCCCTCTTGGCTTAGTGGAATGTGTTGTATTTCTTAGCAAAAACTTTGACAGAGCCTTTTGGAAAACTTACAATGAGTTTACAGAGGCTAGAGCCTGTGTCTTCCAAACTGAACACAGTGTGTTGGCTCTGAGCCCTCATCCAGTGTCTCATGTTTTTTCTTTCAGTTTGCCAAAAGCTTGGCACAATTTATTAATGAGCAAAATATCAAAGATCTGAAAGTTTGGACCAGCCAGATGAAAAGGACAATTCAGACTGCTGAAGCCTTGGGAGTGCCTTATGAGCAGTGGAAGGTTTTGAATGAGATAGATGCAGTAAGTTATTTTTTAAATGTCTAATAAGTTGCTTTGTTTGCTAGGCATGAAGCACGTACTTAATTTTGTAACGATACGCCTTTTATGGGATAGAAAATCATTTAAGCTGGTTCTAGAGGCTGAAAAAATTGTCAAAAATTCCTGTTAACAAGGTTAAACATTTTATTAAATTCTGCCATAGTTAATTTAGTCTTGGTTTGGCTTTCTCAGTAAACCATTCCCCTGCTAGAAGCCATGGTGCTATGAAATTTTTGGTAGGTGGGGGTTGCTAGCTGACGCTTTCCAACTGCACCTGTAAGATAGGTAAGCAGGTGCAATAGATAAAATGTGACCTTGTTCGGTGACCTTGCTTACCCATATATATACATATCTCCCTTCACTTACATAGGGATCTAATGATTCCTTCTAACCACATCTGAGTCCAGCGGAGTGTCCTGTTCATCACATGTGACAATTTTGTCTTTTAAGTGTCAGAGTAACAAAACACAATTGTTAAAGGTTATTTATATATGGTTTTATTTGAGAGTCATATCTTCTTTTTGCACTGCTGGTAATGCATGCTTTTAAATCACTTCCATTACCTATAGGGAGTGTGTGAAGAAATGACATATGAAGAAATACAGGAAAATTATCCGCTTGAATTTGCACTGAGAGACCAAGACAAATACAGATACAGATACCCTAAAGGAGAGGTATGCTATTTTTTCTCTCTTAAGGTAAAAGGTTTCCTTGTCTTGAATACATGCATGCTGGCTTTAGGAAGGAAAAAAATCGATGTTAAGATTAATAAAAAGGTTGTTCCTTTCTCCAGGGGAGAGCACATAGGAGCTTGCAAGGATTGAGCCCAGACCACTCCATTTCATTCATGGCTTGAAAAATTAAACTGTAGATTTAGGAAAAAATTGAGAGGTTTGATCTTGCGGCCATCCTTTCTATGCTGGTCCTGCAGTGATAAAGCAGGAAGAATGATTGCAAGGCTTCAAACTTGCACATGCAAACATACTGCCAAAATCGCCTTTTTCTGTTCATCCTTGCTGTAGATAATGGCTGTTTTTCATGCATTTCTGGCTGAAATGCTATGTAAATCTGTAGCCACATCGGTCTTTCACTTTAATAAGCTCCTTGCCTCTGGGAAAATAACTTGCTGACAGCTTTTCTAAAGCAAACCCATTACAGTGCAGCAGTTACCAGATGGTCACACGGCCTGTCTGTTGGTGCTAAAGGCTTAGGATTTCGGGGTAGCAGGGCGGAGGAGCTGGGCCAGCTGCTCTGCTGTTTGTGTCGGTAGAAAGCAGAGCTCTGAGGTCTTCTTTCCTCAGCAGTCAAGAGCAATCACTGTGCTGAGAGCAGCTTGTCATAAGACAAGTGCTCTTACGGGTGTGACCCCTGTCTTCCTAATAAGGCAGTCATTAAGCTGCAAAGTCCTCCTAATCCATTTGAACAAGGAGTATTTGTTTTTCAGACTGATGCCATCCCCTAGGATGATGACAAACATTTTGAACTGCCTGGTCACCTTGGGGTGATTAGTTGATCTCGGCTGTTTGTCAAAGGCAGTTTCTCAGTTGCAGGGGTTTGCACAGCCTCACTGAAGACCGCTGGGTTCCTCTTGCCAAGGTCTGAATCAGCAGTGCCGCTTTCCAGCCAGGCCTTGGGACCAGGGTGCAGGCTTTCTGCAGTGGTCACTCCCTGCCCTGATGGGTGATGTGCTGTGTTCTCTGCACGTGCAATGCATGGAAGTATCATCTTTGCTGTCAGTGTGAAAATGAACTTAAGCACTCACCTGTGAATGCCTGCTGTTTACCTGCAGCAGCAGATTCACCGCACGTGTGCTGTGTGGGACAGGTTGCAAGAGAAACCTGGCCTCCTTGCCTTATGACTTCTGATGGGATGGTGGCTGCCATCACCAGGCCAGTTCGTCAAGCCCATAGTTTGTTTTCAAAGGGCAGGCTGAACAAGTCAGGCTTTGTGAACTGTGTGTGTGATGACTGTAGGCTGGGCTTCCCAGATTTTTGCTTGGAAGGGAGATGCTTTTGAAGATGAGGTGTGGAAAATAATGTGCAAGACTTAACCTGTACATTTGCAGATGCTGTGAATTAAATTCTAGGGATTTTGTGGAAATTCTTGATCACAGAAACTGATTTAATAAAGCTTTTCCTTGAGGGTGCTATGTTTTGTTACATGTATGCTCTTTGATAGTCTGGAAGACCTGGACTGTGTTCTTAATTTAAGGAAAATTATTACTACAGAATTTATGCACTACTACAACATTTAGAAGATGAGTAATATGAGCAATATGAAAAAAACTTCCACTGTATATATATACACTGTTCAAAGAGTTTTCCCTTTTTAATGTGCTCTGTATTTCTCCTCCCCACCCAGTCCTATGAAGATCTTGTTCAGAGACTGGAGCCGGTAATTATGGAACTTGAAAGGCAGGAAAATGTGCTTGTCATATGTCACCAAGCTGTCATGCGCTGTTTGCTTGCATATTTTCTTGACAAGCCTGCAGGTAAGTCTTCCTCGATACGTTACAAATGGTCTGTTCTTTGAAAATTTACTGATTAAAGTTCCAATGAATTCTAATGATTTCCTTTATCGTCAGAGGATGGTTGTGCCAGGCAAGTACACAAGTGTAATTTTTTTGTATGTGACCTACCCATGTTACCTCGTAGGTGATTTTTATTGAGCTTCTTCTCACCTGAAAGGCTGAAAATGTTTGTTTTTCTGCAGCTATTTGAATAGCAGTGCTAGCAAAGAAAACAGACTGTCAGATAAAAAGAGACTTTTAAGTGGTTGGCCTGTAACATAATAGAAAAGCTAAGTGTTTTTGTAATCTCTATTTCATACATAATTTGTTGTTTGGTTTCTCAGAACAGCTGCCTTACCTGAAGTGCCCGCTGCATACTGTCTTAAAGCTAACCCCGGTGGCTTATGGTGAGTGGTATTAAGTATATATAATGTATAAGTAACTATACTGTTATTTATGTCTGTCACCAGTAAAGTGTGAAGCATTTAAATTAAAACACATTTTAAATTCATTTTGCTATAAAAGCAAACCGAACAGTTAGGTTTGGCGTTGCACATATGTCTGTACAGCTTTGTTAGAATCAGTGAATTCTTTGGTTTACGTTTGCTTTGCGTTATGCCAGAAAATACGTATGTATTAGTGAAGGCCTGAAACTACCAGCGGCTGTAACTGCTAGTGGACAGTTTTCTTTGTACTCAGTTCATATGCTATTTCACTAATTTCTCTGGCAAACCCATGCCATTTACATGTCTGGTGCAGTAAGATCTTAGTTTTTATAGGTGTATTTGAGGGTATTGTTGTTTAGAAAATGGGCAAATTTACATTTATGCAGGTTTATCATCTTAGAAAGGGTGCTCCCCTTACCCATAAGTAAATTTGTTCTCTTTTCCTGAAGTATTTATTAGTGGACCTTCACACTACCAGTGTGAACTTAACCTTGTTTGTTGTTGCTGGCATTTATTTGTCAGCAGCTATTACCAGTGCTTCGCTCAGGGGCTTTAACTGAGATTTGCTGCTAGCTTGTAGAGAGTGGGGTATGGGTTGCAACATGTACTACTTAGGTTTTAGGCTGATTGCCAATTAAATTTCGCATGTGTTTCAACCTCAGCTTAACACGTGCCTGCTGCTAATTTTCTTTAAGCAATGGCTTAATTATATCTTCTGATATCTCATCACACTTCAGAAGGTTATTTATAGGCAAAGAGAACTATCTGCACAGCTTACCAGGAAATAGATTGCCAAAAATGCTAGTCAAGTTATTAATCGGAAATGCAAAGCTGTCTTTGATTATCATCTTTGAAAAATAGCAGTCTAGACCTGTACTTCATTTTTTTGTTAAGTTTCAAATGAAGTTGAGACAAAGTAAGTAGCTGTTACACTGCAAAATCTGTCTGAAGAGATTTTTGTCATTTAATTGCAGTGACGTCCTACAGTAAGTAGTAACCATCTATGCTTTGGTGACATCTGGTGTTCCTAGCCTTGCATGACAAGCTGGAGTTTTGAAAATAGAGATTTAGAACAGCTAAAATGTTTTGTTTTTTTTTTTAAAAACCAATATTTGGAAATTGGTTTCTCTTGACTCACCTAGTTTCAGCCTGTTTACACAGAGAGTTTTTTATTTTGGGGTGTTTTTTGTTGGTGTGGTGGTTTTTTTTTGTTTTTTTTTTAAGTGGGAAGTTGGGTGACTGTTCATAAATTTTAAGAGGGCTTGGATGTTTGTGGTGTTTACTAGCCTGCTAAATGAGGAAGGAAAAGAAGTGGTATTAAATACTGTCCTTGTGCTTTTGACTTCAGTGAAACACCATGGTTCTTTTTTAAAGTGTTTGATACGTATGTCTGATTAGCACATTTCAGTTTACCTGCTTTTTGGAATTTGACCATCTGAAAATACAAGGGCTGTGTAAACTCCTTATATGCTAATGTTCTATAGCATTGTTCCAAGTTAATGTGTCACTTGGCTCCTGTGAGGCAGGATGCAGGATCAAACACGGTGTGTTTAATACCTTCCAGCTAATTCTTTTCTGGGGTAACACCTCCCTCAGGGGTTTGCTCTTCCTGGTGTTTGAAGCTAGCATCATTTCCACCCTGTGCGTCTGATGTTTAGTAGGGGAACATCTATTACAGCCTGACAGTTGGATTAGGATAAATTAGACCTTTACGCAACAATCCTGGATAGAGGTGGTCTGTGGGGGAGTACACAGGGAAGAGAACTACATCTTGCTGTAGGTATGAACTTGTACTTTGGTAGTTAAAAATGAGTTGGGAATACACACATTGTAATTTCTGTTGGAGTAACTCATGTCCCTTAGGTTGATATTTAAAGCTTTTCATATGATATTTTTTTGAGATCTTACACTCAGCTAGCGGTAAGGACTGAGAAGTTTGCTGTGTAACCAGCCCTTAGTAATGGCCAGCATCAGGGATCAGAGCTTGCTTTTGCTTGGTGTCAGGGGTTGCAATGGATCTGTGAACAGAATGATGACTAGGGTACTCTTCCAGTGGGAGATGAGCTCTTTTCCCCATTAAAATCTGTTTTCTTGTTGACTGTTTTTCTGCGTGCTGGTCCTCCTGCAGTGTTCATGAGAAATGGGGTTTCTCAGAATAAGGGAAGTACTGCCTTACTAAATTACATTATTTTTTTTTAAAGTGCTTTCTAAGAAAAGATAAAATTGCCTTTTTCTGTCATGTAGTAATTCTATGGAGTGTGTTATGACTTTAGGAAGTAAGTGAGCAGAAAACTGAAAACCTGTTTGTGATAGAAGATGGACTCTGTGGTATGTCAGAGGAATTTGACTATTAATGAATGTTGTGTAGGGTAGTGGTAGCTTGTAAAAGTCATGTTCATGTGAGAGAGACAGTGCTTGGCAATTGGCTATTGGCTTAAAACGGTGTGGTCACAGTGTATTGAGTAATTATAGTTCTCTAAGTGGGTCAGTTCATACTACCTGAGTAATAGTTGTCTCTTCTGACTGTTTAATTTTTCTCACTTCTCTTGGGTTTTCCATTTTTGGGTGAAAAGGAGAGGTTCCTTTTAAGAAGTCAACTTTAAAGTTCTGTTTAATTGGGGGTTAAAACTCTGTTTTGCATGCGTAGAGGAATGGTGTTGCTAACAATGTGCAGAGTACCTTCTTGTAATCATTTTCATGTTTTAAAAAATGAGCAGCGTTTATCTTCTGTATTACAATGAAATTCTAAGAAGTCTAGGATGTTTAAAGAAGCAAAAAGATAGAAATAAGAACTTTCTTGACTGAATGTTTTTCACGTATGTTTAAAAACAGGAATTTCTTTCAAAGAAAATAATGATAAAGCTGAGGTGAGAATAGGAGATGGATTATCAGATTGAGAATAATGTTTTTCCTGGTGGAATAGATTCATTTCAATAGCTTTAGCAGTTCAGAATTTGGGAAACTAGTATGAATCAGAAGGGGGAAGAGATTAACCTTTACCAACTCAAAATTAGATTGCATCTTTATATAGCTTCATTTTTAAAGCAGACCAATTCTGAAAATGTGTTTTCTATCTACAGGATGTAAAGTGGAATCTATATTCCTGAATGTTGAAGCTGTAAACACACACAGAGATAAACCCGAGGTAAGGATATTTTTCAAATTGAAGTACATTACGTCAAATTCTGTCTGAGCTGATTTCCATTGTCCTTGTGGTTAGAAATTACTTGATAACTCAGCCGAGCATATTTAATTTTACATATCAAGCTTTACTACTGGTTTTCTGTTGAGGGGGGGAGAAAACCCCTTTTTATTGAGCAAATTAATCTTACATATGAGCTCTAGCTGGAGTAGTTTATCTTCAAAAAATGAATGAGAATTTGAAGATACAGTATCAATCTAAAAACTGTACGAAGTTCTTCCAGGCTTTGTCATTCAGCAGAGGTAGGGTGTATTCAAAAAGTACATTGTTATGAATGCCACACTTATTTTGGAGAGAGTAAATAATGTTTCATCACCACGATCATTGCTGTATGAAAAAGAGGAATTGATGATGCCACCTGTTTTTTAAGCCAAAGCTGGAGAGGAAGACTAGATCTTGGGATACAGCAGAACAGCTGGGGAAAAGGAAATTGAGTGTATTTGTAAAATGTAAGTGGAGATAAGATGTCAGACCACAGCAGCTTCATACTCTCCCTGTGTGAAGTTCACGGTTCTGTGAGCTCCTAACTGTTGACATGAGCTTAGGTTGATTCTGCTGCTCATGCGAAGCTCTTCCATGGCTGCATTATGGAAGTTTTGTAAAATGTGTCAAGATTAAAAATTTCTGGATCCCTTGCAGGTCTGCATGCTAGTACTACCAGGTATGGCACTGATGCCTCACTGAGGTTATGAGCCATACCTCAATACCTGAATTAAAAGTCAATTTGATACCGTGAGAAAAAAGGGCTGTTTCTGGTGGTTTTCAGAACAGTGGTTTATGGTGAAAAGGAATATAGTGATAACTGTGTTTATGTGTGTGTATTCAGTAAGGTATGCAATGCCTTACTTATGTGAGGGTACACGTTTGTGGCAGTTGCGCAGGATTCACGCTGGAGGGGTCTGCAAAGAAGTTTTGATTTAATGACTTGGGTATTCTGAGTTCTGAAAATACTGACTTTTAGTTGTTCTTAGCCAAGGCGTTTTCTGTTAGATAGTCGTATTGCGTATTTCCTCTCTCCTCCCCTTTCTCCTTTGTCATTCTGTTTTACCACTTTTGTGTCTTAGTTATGTTTGTTAGGCTTAGGAAATCCATTCTGTTTTTGCAGTGCCTGAAAGGTGTTGGAGAAGCATGGTGAAAATAGAGGAGGATGTCTTAGAGCAGGTGTTAGGTTATCTGCGTTAAATAATGTAGATCAACCAAATGTTTTTAGTTTGGCTGTTAAAATGTTGGTGCTGAATTTACAGCTTGCTAGAGTGTCTTGGGAACTGCTGTTGGGAATGCCACTTCTCTAACTGAAGATGTTTATTTTGAGGGGGAAGGCTCTGCCTGAATCGCCAAATGACTCTTACTGTGTCTAGCGAGTGATGTGTCCATTCTGACATTGGTGTTGGGTGGTCGTTTTTCAGGTGCGTGTAAAGGATCATGCAGATAGTTGAATGGTACTGGACACAAAACCACAGAAATAAATTGAGTTAATGAATTTTAAAAAAGAAAAAAAAGGAGCAGAGGCATTTTTATTAAAAAAACCCAAACGCTCTTTTCCCTCTGTCCCCAAAGAAATCCAGACCGGTGAAGTATGGGTGATGATACGCTCTTCATTTACTAGGGCTGAATAAAGGACTAAGTAGTTCCCGTCTGTGTTTAAATGCTGCTCAAAAGGCTATGAAAATTTCAAACGCTTTCGTTTACATCACCTACAAAAATGTTAATTACTTCTGTAAAATTTAATTTTCAAATAGCCTATTCAAGTCAAAGCATTTCATTAAATACAGCATCACAGATAAAAACATTGTTAAACAATGAAACCGTTTGATTAAGCGTTGCCCAGCGTGCTGTTCTGTGCCCCCACAAGTAGTTTGTATTCCGTGTTTCAGAACAGTGCACTCCTTTTTGGCTTCAGCTGAGAACATCTATTTGTACATTGCAGAAATGCAGGCAAAGCACTAGAGTATTTGTTTATGGTATGTGTGAACTTCACTGTATGTTAATGATTTGTCTGAAGTGGATTGAAGCCTTGTGTTTGTCAGTATTGTAGTGGCTTGAGTTCCTGACCTTTTCAAATGAAGGAGTCTACAGTCCATCTACTGAAAATAATTCAGGGGAATGACTTTAGCTGTTGCTTGAGTCCCCTCTTCGGGCCAGAAAACAAGCACTGGGGGAAAATGTCCATTTTGCACCTTCGTCTTAGTTGGTGAATGATGGATAGGGAAGAGCACTCATAGCAAGAAACCCAGATCTCCTTTTTGATTTTGTGGCTGGAAGGGGAGAGGGAGATGTTACCAAAAGCTGAGTTTGCTTACCATGGTGTAAAACAAGTAAGACTCATGAAGCCCGTCAGCACAAAGTTTGAAGAATTGGCAGTGATTTGGCCCAAAAGGGGCCAAGTCAGATCAGGATCTTGGAAGGAACTTCAGAACAGTTTATCATAGTCTCCTTTTTTTGGTAGAAGGGAGAATACTAATTGCAGTCTTTGGGACTTGCATGAGCTGGTACTGTGGCGGGTGTGATTCCTGAGCCTGGTTCTGCATGGCTGCACTCCGAGCTGTGCTTCCTAGTACAAGTGTTTGGCTGCGCTGGGGGTTTGGTTTTGCATCATTTGCTGCATTGAATATAATTTTTTTCCTACACCCTCTGCAAAATGAGGTGAGATCTAGTTGGTGTGATCAGTCTTGAATGGTTAAGGTGTCTGGGAAGAGATATTTCTATTTTGTCAGGTGTAGTATGTTGCCTGTAGCACAAAAAAACCCCATTAAAGTCTTCCTTTGGGAAAGAAATGTATGGCATAGGTCAGCAAAGCACTGGAAGTTGCTTAATGGATTGACGTGCATGTGCTGAAGCACATGTTTAATGGATTCCTGCTTGGGCCTGTGAAAGAATTCCTGCTAAACATGAATGACTTGAGCTTTTGGTAATATTATCAGCATGGGATCAGCGATTACTGTAAATACGTTTTCCTGCTGTCTAGTTCTGGGACACCAACCAGCTGTCAGTCTGCTGCATTCTCAGGGTGTGTGTGGGGTAAAAAAAATCTCAGCTTTTAAATAAATGCAGCTGTGTACTTGTGAAGGAATCTGATTGGTATTTTTGTTGCTCTTACTGCTGCATGATAAATACTCTCCTCTGTATTTTTATTATTATACAGAATGTAGACATTTCCAGACCTCCTGAGGACGCTCTTGTAACAGTCCCTGCTCATCAGTGAATCCTGTGTGCTGACCAACTATCGAACTTGGGGTGCTGTTTTCATCCTACTACTTCAAAATAAATCGAAAAGCTAATCATTCCAATCACTTTGAAATAAAAAAGCCCCACTCAAACCCAACAACTCAAAACCCAAACCAAATGTTTGTACAGCGCATGACTTGAAAAAATTTTCAAATCACAATAAAACTGTATTGCACTGGTTAATTTATTGTGGATGAATTATCAAACATTGATCGGCTGTCACTGGAATGCTGGTTTTGTAAATTGCTATAATTTAAAGATCCTGCAGCATTAAGTTTTATGGTAACAGCCAGCAATCATTTAATACTAGTTGCAGTGTGTTTATTTATGAAAGCCATGAAACACAACATCCTGTGTGAGATAAGAAAAAGTTGAAGTTTGTTTTCCAGGCGCCAGTATTATCTATTTCAGTGCCCTTGGGAGTGATTGGACTGCTATGTAGCATAAAATAACAATCCATAGTTACTGCAAAACCTTAATCCTGCTGATCCATAGCACTAGTGCTCTAGATGTGCTAATTAATGATGTGTGGTTTGAAGACGCTAGCAAGTTTTCACTTTGTTCCAGAACAATTATTCGAGGTACAGGAATGTGTATGAATGTTTTTAATATACAACTTTTCTTAACAGCTGTTCTGCATTAACCAGGCTTTAGGGTTTGCCCGCTGGCAGAAGTGATTTTAAATTTCCTCTTTTCCTGCTTCTTGTTATGGACATGAGTGATAGACAAGTGTTTACAGTTCTGCTCCGTATGTTTTGTACTCAGATTTTACCTAGGCTGCAGTGAGCAGTGTTGACCATTTCAGGACGTGGAAGCAGAGTTAGCCTGATGATTTTGTAGCTGCGTTGTGACTCCAGTAGGCGCAGGATCTCAAACCAGCAGGGTTTGAGATCTGAACTGAATTATAGCAAAAGATTTCACAGGCTGGAGAAGACTGCAGCTTGTTGGAGATGTGGTGCCATGCCTTGGCTCCTTTCTCTGTGATGTTATGGGGAGCAAAATGAGGCAGTGGGAAGCATCGGTGCCGCTGAATCAACTTTGTTGAGGTAGCATCGAGTCTGAGAAAGGCAGAAAATCACCGAGTCCTGGAACTGTTTTCTGAGGGGGTCTTAGTCTTGGAAGTAAGGAAGTGTGGCAAGCTTTTGTCTGGTGGGACGTTTTTCTAGAACTGGGATTTTGGGAAAAAAAGTGTTACATATATGCACTTCTAAAATTACACTGAAGTTCTCAGAGGTTTGTAGCAATCAGGAACATCTGATACAACGAAATAACCTCCTGGCCAGAGAACCTCCCGCCATACCACTTGGTATTTAGTTAAACCAGTGTCCCAGAATGGGCTGGGACCGGGGGGGACCTGGATTATTTTCCTCTCTTTGTCATGACAGTGACGTGGGAGTGTTTTGTCACTTTGCCGAGGCCCTGGCCTCTTGGCATGTGCTTTGCCATAACAAATACCCCAGAGGAGAAGATCTGAGCCTGCCATACCCACTTGCATACATTAATTTTAGTGAGTCTGGTTGCTTTTACCTGTCAGTTGAGGTGATGTCCCTGGGAGGTTGCAGAGACACTGGCCACAGACGGGTACTGAGGAACTGCGCCAAGGCAGCTCGGAGTGCTGTCACCTCTGCGGGCCACAACTAAGGAAATGCTGTGCGAACTTAAACTAAACGCGTTACGGTTTTGATGGAGCCAAAATCTGCACGGGCGTCTGCTGTGGAAAAACTGAGTTTTGCTGCTTGAAAAAGGACAGCTTGGGCTGCCGAGGGAAATGGAGGGGGAAGATGGAAGGGGCAGGGACTTGGCCAGAGAGGAAGGCTGGGATTGCCTGGTCTGTGGCTGGTGGAGGCTGTGGAGGGAGGAGAAGTGGAAGAAGTGCCCAGGCCCCCCCAACCCTGCTGGCTGCTGCCAGCCCCATCTCCTGGGGCTGCAGCTGTGTGGTGTTCTCTTTGCTGAGCATGCTGCTCATTGTGCTGGGGTGCACAACGGGGTGAAGTGGATATTTAAAAATAGTTTTGTACTCTAAGGGGTCTCCTGTTACAGCAGCATTGCTTAGGAGTCCTCCCTGGCTTATTTTCTTAGTAAAGGAAAGGCCTAATGCTGGGTGGAAAGCAGCAGTGATGGTTTGTAGCACAGCTTGCCGAGGGAAAGCTGGCTGTTTATGTCGTGCTCTTTATTTCTCTATTTATGCCTGTGCTGGTTCTTTTCCCTAGAGGAGCTTTCCTGCAAAATCTTCCTGTTTTGCTGTGAAGACAGCATGTAGCTTATCAAAATGAAACTGAAATGATGGGCTCTGTCCTGTTGGGAAACCCATAGCGCTTGGCTTCTGGGGCGGCTCTCTTCTGTAAAAAACAAACGTACAAAGCCGGGAGGAGTATGATGAGGAGAGGAAGAACAGTGCTATAAGAGTCTATTTGAGTTAATCCCTATGTTTTGAGTCTTTCCAGAGAGTACGGGGTGAGATGGACCCCCCAATGAGTGCTGGGCCTCCTTGTGGAGCGGGCTCTGGAAGCAGTGAGCCCCTGCCCAGGCTGACCGAGGGAGAGCCCATTTGCCTTGGTAGAAATAGTATTTTAAAAGGGCATGTGGTGGTTTTTATTCCCACTCCTGTGTTTCCTGGGCTCTCCAGACCGTGTTGCTGCTGGTGTGTGGCAGCCGTAGTGCTGTTCCCAGGGCGGTAATTTTGTCTGGGTGTGCTTTGGTAAGGCAGTGCTGGACAGTCGCAGGGACACCTTTTGGCACCAAAAGTAAGGCTAAAACCTCAGTCGTCCTTTGAAGCAGCAACACTGTTCTCATTGCGTGGCTTTTCTCTCTTGATGCCTGGGGCTGTTCTGGAAGCGTGTACAATCCCAGCTGCCATCATCTAATCTGATGTGATTCCTGCGAGCAGGGATCCATTTACCATTAACGAGGATATTAGTCCTTTTCTAAGCCTCAGTTCATCTGGTCTTGCAGTTTGGTATTCTGTTCGTCTAACAAGCCCTAGGGTGTGTTTATTAGGGTTTATCCTAGGGTTTTCTTTCTTCAGTGTGACAGTTCGGTGTGCTTCACTTCAGCAGCCTGTTCTCCTTCCCATTTACTCAAATTGAAGTGCTTTTTGCTTTCGACTTGACTGCATATTGATATTCCCTCTTGGGTCTGTCTCTGTTCTTAAGATGCCGCTTTCATCTGATACCTCTCATTGACTTAAATAAGCTGCATCTTCTGCCTTACTTCCTTTTGGTTTCATGTTATAGCTGTCTAGTTCTTGCTGCTTGTGGGCTAATTTCCAGTACCTCTGGATTCCTGCATATTGATGTTCCATTTCATGCTCCATTTAATTTTCTTTGAATCAGCATCAGATGCTTGGCTTAAAAGATTTCAGCCAATATTCTTGGAGTGCCTGTGCAGACATCTCCGCAGTCCCAAGGAATTTCTGGGTATGTTGCATCAGTTGCTGAGAAAAATACAAACAAATGCAACAAATGCCAGCGTGTTTTGTTGGGGGTTTTTTCCCCATGTAGTCATGCAGCATGTGACTTGTTTTGCCTACTGCGCATTTTCCTAGCCAGATGCTGATGCTTTCTGTGTGTCCTTTGCTGCAGAAGAGATGGTACCTGTAGAAGCTTCTTTCTGAAATGGGGTTGTTGCTTTTCCTTCCTTCAAAGAGAGAAGTTGGAGAGCTGGTTGGGCATTGTGCTGGTGGGTGCAGAGATTTCCAGGACTTGGATGACCGTGCCCAGCAGCATTCCCGTGTGTGTTATCAGAAACCTTGGCGCGGTGTGTTTGTGCTGGAAGACAGGGTGATGTACCCAAGGGCTTGAGGGCTGATGAGAAAGGAAGGGGCTGGCACTAATGTAGGAGAATTGGTCAGGGCAGAAGTGATGTTGGCACACTTCAACCCCCAAATCAAGTCTGGTGCTGCTTGTTTGTCTCCCATTTTCATAAGAAGCGGCTGCACGTTCTAAAAACTGGTTTGGGGAGGGGAACAACTTGCTTTATAAGTTGATGCATTTGGACTGATGGAGTGGTGTGTGCTGTCGGAGGGCCTGGGCCGCATCCCCCTCGCTGTGTGTTAGCGGGGTTCTCCATGAGTTGGACTGAAGAGATTTGTTTTCTAAGTACACTTCAATAAATGCGGTTATAAACCCACTGAAACGTTATCTGATGTCGGTATGACATCTGCCAACATGCCTATGTATCTTGAAGTGCGTTTAAACATTGTGCTACCAGCTCTTGAGGGAGTTATTCAGGGTCCTTCCAGTGACTGAGCTGCTTACAGACAGGATCAGAATTGGTTTCATAGCTGTTGGTGTGAAGGAGTAATTTTCTGGAGCATGCTTGAAACAAGGAGAGCTGGGCTTCTCTTCCTCCAGATTTTATCAATTGTGTGGTTTATGACTTTTGCTGTGTGGCTCAGTTTTTTTTTTTTTACACTGTCTGCATAAAGACTAGAAGAGCGGGTGGATCAGACCAATGTGGTTAAAAACGGTGGTTAAAGAAAAAAAAAAAAGTCTTAAAAACCCTAACACCGTGACCTGCGTATGGCCGCGTATGCCCTGCCAGACCTGGTGTGATAACGTGCCTTAGGGAGGCTCTTTTCCTGGCAGCAGTGAGCCTGTGTTTAAGTATCCAAGGGGCTTGGGCTCTGCAAAGCACATAGCAGCTGGGACGGGGTCTAAGCCTGGCTTCTGACTTCTGCCCACGAGCTGGGACCTTTCCTTGTGTTTTACAAAGCATTTTGAGGAAATAAGCATCAAAACCTGCTCATCTTTTGCCTTGTGTAATAGCCATGTGTTAAGCGAAACTACAGCTGACCGCGAGACCCTTGATTTAAAATCTTTTTTGTCTTTAAATTTGCAGAATGTAGGTGTGGATCGGTCCAGAGAAGAAGCTTTGAGGACAGTACCTAACCACCTATAGCTCCAGTGCCCGGGGGCGGCAGCCCTTCCTCCATCGCAAGAGCATTAAGTAGCAGCTCAGGTCCTGGAGAACAGAGAAGGCGTCGCTGGGCGCTGAGTGAGTTGGAACGAATGCTCCTCCCTGTCACTTTTAAGACATTTCAAATGAGATTCAGCTTCTTTGAAGAAAACCTGTAGTTCCGGATAACTCCCAGTGCTGAGAGGTATCAGTAAAAAGATTTATGCGAAGCAGAGTAGAATTGGTTTTAGATTTTCTGTATGTAAATTTGTGCAGTTTCAGTGGTTTTTAGTGTTCATCTGTGGATACTGCAAGATGGTTAATTGCCCATGTCAATTTTACTGTCAGATTTTACCTAGATTTTACTTTCTTTTTAAAGTGTTTTTCTAAGAGTTCCTCTTATTTTTACTGTGAATGATTGCCTAGAATTACCTGGAGATTTTTTCTGATGGCATATTTAACGTAGGTGAAATTCTACATTTTAAGCATTGGAGGCTTCATGTTGCAAAACTACCTTAAGTGGGCAAACCTATCAGCTCTGTCAGCATCTGTGCTTTAAACTGAGCTTCGGTTTGTCAACCACAACTTAATTTTTTTCTGCAAGGGGGAGACTTTCCCCTTGTAAAATAAAAGCATTAAAGCTAGATTGGCTACCTTCAAGACCTGTGTTTTTAGCAAGATTTTAACGTTTTCCAGGGGCCAGGTGTGTTTTGGAGGGCAGTGGAAGACACAGTATTAAGTGGTGGATGTGAGTACAGCTAGCAGCCTGGGCAACGAGGGGAGAGAGCAAGGGGCCCTTTCTTGCTGCAGTTATAGGAGGGGGTGAGTGGCTTTTCTGAGGCTGGAGGGGAGGGGAAAAGTGTTCAGACTATCCAGGGCTGGAGAAGCTGCTTGTCTTACTAGTGCTATGATTTTTAATGAATTTTTTTTTTTTTAGGCAATTTTTGGAATGAATTCCAACATAAAAGTATATGTTTCTCTTTTATAGCCATATTTAATACATACATCAGGAAACAGTACAGAAAGGTTAGGTGGAGTTTAACCCTTCAAACAGCTCATGCAAGGAAAACACCAGGTAAATTCTGAAACTTTTTTTAACATAGCGCACCTGCCTTGGGGTTTTCTTGTGTTCATTTTTAGCACCTTCCACTGTCCCGGTTCTTTACTGCTATTTTAGACCTTGTGAAACTCCAGTGCTAAAAATGGAATTCTCTGTGTCTGTTGAGGCCATGACCTTTTAACCGAACTAAATCAACGTGTATTTGTACGTCTGTTACCAGACAGCCGAAGCGAGCTGCCAGCACTGCTGCTGGCTCTTGGTGCTGAATTGAGGAGAACGGTCTTTGGTAGCTGGGCTGTGTTTTTCTGAGGACTTCTGTTCACCTAATTGAGCTATTACCACGTATGTTGCTGGGTTTTTTGTTTTGTTTTGTTTTGTTGAGTGTTTGTGGTTTTCTTATTTTCAATTCCTGTGTGAAATACCGGGCCCTCATAAGGTAGTTTTGCAGGCAAGGGCTAAATTGTCTTTTGTTTCTGCAGGGTTTATAAAATAACGTGCTGCTGTTGTTATTTGTTCTAATAAGCTAATTTCAGCAATATATTCAGCTCTGGAAGTAAGCCATACCGTATCGCTGGGTTCCGTTTCAGATGAGGAACGTGTAGGGTACGGAACAAGCAGAAACACTTGCTTCAAGCGCTGCTGTCTAAAGCTTTGTGTGTGCCATCCACGCGTTCATTAAGGCCCAGGTCAGATCTTTATTAATTCAGCCGTGTCCGTAGCTATTGTGTGAGGAGAGAGGCTGCACAGTGCTGCTCAGAGAAGTTGTTAATTTATTGACATGTAGTTAACAAGGCCACCTTCATGGCAAAAAATGTAGAAGTAATTTCCTCTCCCGATTTGACGTGTGTGGGGAAGCCGGGCTGCCCTCACTCCTCCAGGCCTCTGCCGTCCAGCCGTGACCAGGGGTTGTTAAACAGTGGTTAAATTGCCAAGGTCAGAGTTTACCCATAGTGACGGAGGGCAGATCCCAGGAGGCTGCATTAGAAAAGCGGGGCTTTACCGTCAGGTTGTGGCACTTCTTGAGCTCAGGCCTGGTTGCAGAAATGTGGTGGAAGGAGATTTCCCCTAGCGAGAGCTGAGCCCAGGGGCTGCTTCTCTTCACCAGCAGGCATGGCCTGAGGTGTCTCCCCTCTCTCCCTTTCTTTGTTTTACCTCTCTCAACTTTCAGAGGTGCTGTAAAATTCCTTGAGGCTAAATGTTTTCTGTATAGTAGGTATTTTTATAGCCTGCTTTTGAATATACTGTGATGAGTGTTTTACTAAGTTGGGTGTTCAGTAAAAAGCATTGTACACAAGTGTAAATAAACTGTTATGCTGATACTTGAAGAGAAAAAAAAAAAGAAAAATATGAAGTTGTCTGTTCTACTTCAGGAAGGTACTAAGTCACTGACTGCATCCCACCCTTTCTAGCTGGCCAGAGCAAGTGCATACAATGAATGTAGACGGGAGGTGAGCAATCGGTTCTCCCCGGGGCATAACCACCTTTCTGGAAGGGCACTGGTAAGCGCTGCAGCTGATTGTCACTGCCTAAAGCAGCGTATGTCCCCCCCTCCTGACCGAAGGAGGTGAAAACCCTTGTCCTGACCTGGGTACACCCATGTTTATTTTACTGCCTTCTGACTGTTAACGCACTTGCTAGCTCAGATGCAGTCTCTCAGATGGGATTAAACTGTTTTCTTACATCCTTGGCCTTCGTCGTAATCTTTCAGACAAATGTAATCATTTGACCTTTGATACAATTAATAAAGATCAAATGCTACAATGCGTGCTGATGTGTGTGTCTTTCCATCCTCATTTACAGTAGCTGGTGTGCGGGGTGGGTGTTCCTGCGGGTCAGCAGCTTTCCACAGCTTTCAGAAGCACAGCTTGGTTAAGAGAGCTTATACATAGGCATAAAAATGAAGTTAACTTACTCCATTGGTTGCTTTAATCTGACAACTAATTATAATTAACTCAGTAACTGAGGAAGATGGTGGAAGAATCTATTGAATAAACACAAGTGAAGATTTGCAAGCAACAGCGGGGAAAGGTAAGACTTTTTATTCATTTTACCTGGTTGTTGGTATTTTAAGATCTGATCCACACTCTCAAAGCTATCCTGTTCTTACGTTGTCTTCCAAGTGCTGCTGCTGGTTTGAGAAAGCTGAAAACTGACAGCAAAATGCTGCCTTCTGGTGCAAATTTGCAGGTATAGGTTAGGTAGGTGGCACTAAATTTGCAGCACTACTTGTCATTCTGAGGGATAAGGACAAATTTAATTGCTACTTTGTGGTTTAGAATTATGTACTCAGATCTTTGCATCTTGTTGATCACTCTACGCTCTTGGGTGGTAACCACTTGTATATCCTCTGCTAGGTGGAAGGTGCATATCCTTTGGTGTTTAACTCTACCGTGTACTTATGTTTGTGGGGGAGGTGATTTTGTTTGGTTTAGAGCCCTTAGGTTGCTTTCTGGCCAAAATTCTTTAATACCTCCTTCTCCCTCCAGCGTGAGGACCGCCCAGACCCCATTGCCTGAGGAGCCCCTGGGACTGCTGCCCGCCAGGTGGCCCTCAGGCACAGCAGAGGAGGCCCCTGAAGCTGCGTGACCTGCGGAAACATCATCTCTGGGTGCTGTAACGAGCTGACGTCGGTGGTGGTGGGGCCAGGTTTGGCTCCTGTTGCTCCAGAGCAAAGCAGGTGAGTACAGTCAGGAAAAGTGCGCATGGTGGTAACTGGGCAAATGTGGGAACACCAGCTGTGTTCTGACTGTTCCAGCCTCGGTCTGCTCTACCCTTAGGTGCCATCCAGGTCTTACCGGCATTACTTGCATTGTAACAGTAAGCTGGAGCTGTTCTTCAGGAGAAAAACAAAGGCAGCACTGTATCTTTGAGTCTCTATGAAGTGTTACTGGATGGGCGATGATAGCTTTCTCCTGCTCTTTCA